TATGTAGAAAGTTAATAAATTTACGGGAAACTGGTTTGCAGCCGGTATTGCAAATTTTTGGGCGGAATTAAAACTGCGCCGTTTTAATATTAAACACATGTTTTGGGCGGAAATTGTTTTGGGTTCTTTTTTCCCTAGTTTTCCTGCACCATCCTCGTTTGAACGCTCTGCCTCCCTTTTTCCCTATTTCATCCCCTCCATCAAGCATAATCCCTATGATTTATCTTTCTTTATGTGTGATTTATTTTCATCTATGATTTCTCTCTTGCATTGTTGAGAGCGTTTTGTTCGTTGTTTGAAGTTTCATCAATTTTCTTTCATCTTATTCTTCCTTTGATTACGGTAATCTCTCACAAGTTTGATTTGATTGCTTCTCAGTTCTCTTTGATCAATTTTCGTTCTTCTTTCATAGTTGAAATTGATATATTAAATACATGTTAAATCTTGTTTTCTCTTTAGTTCTTTACTTGTTTAGCCATAAATTTCATTTGGTTAAGTGTAAAATTTAGAATGTTTTCGTTTTTTAGCAACTAAATTTTAGAGGTTATTTGGGAAATGTATGGACTCTCTTTCAATGGGAAGATTTTCTTAAATGGAACTTTAATCCATTTGTTTTGTTAGTAAAAACTGTATTAATTCTTAGAAGATGTAAGTATAAAGTACCATGCATGCTCTGTTTTCAAGTTGAAAAAACAGAGTCCTTCTATTAGTTTCATTAAGAAATTCCTCTTGAAAAAGTGATCTTGGTGGAGTTTAATCTATGCAATTTTTTTGATCGGTACCATGTAATTGCTCCTAAAAAAAAAACCCTTAAATGCTTCACGTTTTAAATTCCATGTTTTTTTTATAGTTTAATTATTGTCATTTTTGTTTGTTTTATAGGTGTTCTCTAGATGCTCAAAAAATGTCTTAGGATATCAATGTTCAGCAATTAATAATTGATATTGACAACAACAATTTGTTAATTGTACAAGAAAGGAATGAGTATGATTCACAAGAGATTACAAGTGCTATTGCCTTTCACGATGTGATAAGAGCTATAGAATGTGAAGAAATGTCAGGTGAAGATGACATTACTAGTTGGATGCCTCATGAAGGGATGCAATTCCCTTCGGAGAAATAAGCTCGGGAGTTTTACAATGAATATGCTAGGAGAGTGGGATTTAGCATTCGAACGGAATCATCAAAGAGATCCACCTGTTATGGACCTGTTGATAGAAAATATTATGTTTGCTACAAGGCTGGTAAGAAGAGACCTTATGTGCCTAAATATAAACCGTCATGTGAACGTCCAATTTGAGTAGGTTGTAAGGCTCGAATGTCTTTGCACTTTAAAAATGGAGTTTGGATCATCATCCATTTTGTTGATGAGCATAACCATTAGTTGTTTAGCTCTCCAAATAAAATAAGAAACTTGTGCTCTCATAACAAAGAACATTTGCTACAAGAGACAAGGGAGTTAATGGATCAATACAAGTTAGCAGGGTGTGGACCTTTAAAAATTGCAAGACTCTTGAATGTCACAGGCCAAGGTAACTCAAATATTACTCCCCAACAATGTCGAGAGCACTTAAGGAAGAAAAGAGAAAGCAACATTGGTCGTGAGTGCTTGGTAGTTATGCAACAATTCTTAGAGATGACTGCCTCAGATGAAAATTTCTACCATAGCATGGAGCTTGATGAAGATGGTGTGTGTAGGAGCATGTTTTGGGCAGATGGGAGAGCAAGGGAAATGTATCAACATTTTGGTGATGTAGTGGTTTTTGATGTGACATATCGAACCAATCAATTTCTTTTACCATTTGCACCATTTATCGGTGTGAACCATCATGGACAATCAACACTATTTGGATGTGCCCTTTTATCAGATGAGACCGAAGCTACTTTTGTATGGTTATTTAAACGATGGCTATCATGCATGGGGGGTAAAGAACCAGGTGCAATCATCACTGATCAAGACCCGGCAATCACAAATGCTATTAAAAAGGTCTTTCCGAACACACACCATAGGTTTTGCATTTAGCACATCTCACTTCATGCAGATGAGCACCTTCGTTCATTAAGATCATCATATAGTATCGGGTTTGATGAACAGTACTATAAGTGGGTAAAAAGTAGTAAAACCATTGAAGAAGCTGAGAGTGCTTGGAAAGAGTTGAAAGACAAATATAAGCATTAGTTTGTGGAGCCATTAATTGATAAGCAACATAATGAAATGAAGTCTTGGAAGTGGTTGGAAAACATGTATGAACAACGGTATAGTTGGGTTGATGTATATTTGAGAGACACATTTTTTGATGGAATGAGATCAAGTCAACGAAGTGAGAGCATTAATTCATTTTTTGATGGCTATGTGAACTCTAAAACTCCATTGTTTGAGTTTGTTGGCCAATATACTAGAGCATTACAATCTTGACGTGATCAAGAAGTGAATGAAGACATGCAGACCATGAAAGCAAAGCCAGATCCCCTTAACTTACATCCTATTGAAGTTCAAGTGGGAAATATATACACTAGAAAAATTTTTGACAAATTACAAAGTGAATTCAAAGCATGTTTCTATTGTATGCATGATGAAGTGAACACTTGTGATGGGGTGACCACATATGTTGTTACTTATGAGTTGGGAAAGATGGTTGATTCACAATTTGTACGATGTGGACCATCAGCTGATGAATTTGCTTGTACATGTGGGAAGTTTGAGACTGCTGGTATATTATGTAAACACATTTTATACATTATGAAGCAATGTCATCGAATGAAGGAGATTCCTAAACACTACATTTTGGTTAGACAGACCCTAACTTATAGGCAACGTAGTAAAAAGACTGCATGTGGATCAAGTAGTGTATCAAAAGATTCAGTGGTTTCTCCTTTGGAATCTTGGAATCTTCGAAAATCATTTATGGAAGTGCATGAACGAGCAATAGGACATCGTGATCATTACAATGCTATTGCACCATTATTAGAGGATATGATGAAGCAGTTAGATAGAGTTGATAAGCAACATGAAGGTTTGGTTCTTGAACAAAATGTCAGCACTCCAGCAATCTCCCAAGGTGCAATTTCGAGTAATATAACAATTCGTGATCCGGAAAGAGCTAAAACCAAAGGCCGACCAAGAGAACTTGGTAGGATTCCATCTGGAAAACAAGTGTCACAAAAAGCATCTCAATCAAGGACGCGAACTTGTAGCATGTGTGGTATCAAAGGTCACGATGCTAGGACTTGTGGGAAGACAAAAGAGAAAGTGAAATTATTAAGTTATTAATTATTTTTATGACTTTTGTACTTTAGTGCATCTTTTCTTTATTAATCCTATAACAATATCCTATTTTACCATGGTTTAAATATAGGTGGCAGCTAATGACAGTTTAAGCCAACCACTAGATGAAGAGGAGTGACTTTGATGACATAAAGCTATAGAATAATAGGTGGTTATAAATCTCCATTAATTTTCAGTCATTTCCTCTTGTATTTGATTTGTTTGATAAATATGATGATTGTTGTGCTTGTTGCAGGAGGGATTTATTGCATGTCAATTCCAGCTGAACACATATTCCTTCAATTTGATCAAGCTTTTCAATAGCAGGGCACATATGGGTTGCAAATCTATAAAAAACACTCTTTGTTTTTATCATGTTTTTTTTGTCCGGATGATCAAGTTATGTTATCAAGTGAACTGAACTTTTTTGTGCTTTTGCATTATTGTATTGATCAAAGATAAGTCAAGCCAATGGGCTTCTTTTGTTTATTAAATTAGTGTTGGTTTTATCTCTTAATTTAATTCTTTATTATAACTATTGATTAATTGCAAGAAAAATCCAGCCAACTATTTGTTACCATAAGTCATTTTTGCGTCTCTCTAACAATTCACCACACTATGTTGTTATGTTAATATGAGCACAATGATCAAGATTATTTATTTGTTCAGTAATGGCAAAAGTGTTATAACAGCCTGAGCTGGCATTCTGTGTATGTTGAACGAAATGAGTGAAGTTTTCATGTTTTGGAATGCTGATCAGATACTAGTCCATGAGATCTATCATGTTTTGTTGTTTCTGTTTGCTTGCAATATATTTTTTTTTCTCTTCCCCTCAACACAAACTTCTGTGGTTGGCTTTTTTTTTTTGCTACAATTGTATTACTTAGCTGGAGCAGAGTCTGCTTGCAGTTGATTTTTTTCCTGTTTTGTGTGCATGAACTACAGGAACAAGTAGTGATATTTTTCTAGAGAATGAGATGAAGTTAATACTTGATGCTGGATGTCATGTTTTGTGGTTCTTCTAGTGATTTATTGGTCAAATTCATAAATAAACCATGTCTTATTGAGTTGGGATTTTAAGGAGCAAAGAAATAGAACGGTAAATTGGAGACTTATTGATGCTTACATGTTTTCAAACGACCAATTTTGTTATCTGATTTGAGGAACTCAACTTCAAGAGATGAATCAAAAGCATCAAAAGCATATATGAGCTGAGGTGGTTTAGATAAAAAGGCAAGCTCTTTCTATTGCATCAAAAGCATTGTACATCTTACACCCAGGCATACCTGGGGATATTTCTTTCTACAGGTTGACAAAACTTTGAATCAAAATTTGTGTATTTACAGCTTAGAAACACTATTTAAATTCCATCCTTTTTCCAGCATCACCAACTAGCTTCTTGCTCTCCAAATGCCATGTCTATATGGTAGCATCACCAACTGGCTTCTTGCTCTCCACAACCAAACCATAAAGATCATCAAAGCAATACAGAATTCAACCTCTTTAAAAATAAATAGAAACAGACCTGTGAAAACAAAAAATATCATCTACTCGGATAAACAACATAAACCAACAAAATTTTGGACAATTCATATATATGTATTTAAGTTTGCAAAAAATAATGAAAAACCAATTCCCAGGTACTGACCCAATTGTAAAAGTTCAACACAAGAATTTACAAAATAATCACTCATGTATATTGAATATTATTCAACAATAAGAAATTCTGCCAAGAAATTCCAAGGATTCCTCAAAGATCTCTCCCTCTTCAATCAAAGAAACTCCGAAATTCCATATTCTTCTACTCCCTACAACTTCCAGAATCCAAATTCAACAAATACCCACTTGAGTAATCCATCAAATATCATCAAGTTCATCGAAATCCCCAAATTTGTCTTTCCCTCAACACCATTCCCCAATTGACAATCACCCAATCCCACTACCATACCCACAAGATCTTTCTCTTCTCCAACTACATCCTCCTCGGTGCCGCGTCCAGTTGCATCTTCTTGATCCTTTCCCTCCGCTTGAATTAGGGAAATCAAAGGATAGCCATCTTTTTGCCGACAACTTCTTCGAAATAGTCTTCAGGCCTCCGGTGAAGTGGTTGAGTGGCTATGGTGTCGGAAGGATGGAAGGAGAATTTGCAAGAAAGGGTTCTAGGATAGAGGGCTTTTGAATGCAGAGTAATAGGGGCAAATCAAAGAAGAAAAGGGGATGAAATGAGACAAGAGAACAAGGAGAAATCAAAGAAGAAAAGGGTAAGAATTGAAATAGGGGAACAAGGGCAAATCAAGGGAAAGGGTTTTGTCAAAGATCTGGAGAGTAGAAATAGGGGATGGTTGAAGACGAGACTCGAAGACTCCTAATTGGAATTTTTATATTGTTAACTTAGAACGGCACCGTTTTGATAATTTATTCCGACAAAAAATTAGGAGGCCCGGCTGAGATACAATTTTCCCATAAATTTATAATGAAATTTTATTAAAATTTAGTTAAATAGATAACTTTCGTGTTTTATAAAAAATTAGTATAAAAAAATTAGTAAGAAAATTACTTATTGAATCTTACATAAACGAAGTTGGAGGAAATATTTTGCTTTTAAAAAAGTAAAAGAAGAAAAATTTTCAGGTTAAAAATGATCTTAGAAAATAAGAACTAAAAACATTATTTTTATTTTTTTATTATAATATTAACGTATGAAAATGCATAAATAACTCTATAAGAAAAAAATTTAAAAAAAAATTAAGAGGAAAAGTTCTTATAACCAAACGCCCCTAAAGTTTGAAGTACAATGCAAAGTTGCCACCAAAGAATTTGTTAAATTCACTAATTTTAACAGTAGTTTTATTAATTTGTAATTTTCTAAAAAGTTATTTATAATATTTAAAAATATTTT